AAAGTAGCGGTTGAATGGTTGATAAAATAGCCATTGAAGATGTATTTGCCCAGACCAGATCAATCCCTTCCATGAAGGGATCGATTGGTTCATGTTTTGAACAAATTTACCTTTGAAAATCATGACTCGATCAATTCTTTCCATAAGGGGATTGATCCTATCAGTGGTTGGGTGGTTATTTTCTGTTTTGCACTCTACTCACTAATTTGATCATATCTTGAGTTATATAAATCCAAATCACAAACTGTTTGAAGATTTAGAAACTAGACTTAAAGGGCTTTCTATCCATACACATTCATCACCTAATTCGTTGAGTATGAATTATAGTGAATTTTCAAATTTACCCTTTGTGCAGTTTTTCTAATAACTATAGAGTGTCTAGTAAAAATTTAAAATCTTTTTCTTAGAAAATTTGGATTTTAATTTTGTTTCCATTAGAAAGTAGACTCAAAGAGCTTTCCAACCATATAAAATTCAAATATTAAAACTTTGTGAATTAATACAAAAAAAAATAAGTTCAATGTTGGAAAACTTTGTTCTTGTAAAACAACTTTCTTAAGTTAATCTTTTTCTCAAAACCAATATTATCAAAATTGTATTAAGTACAAAATGAATAAGTTAACTTAAAAACAACAATTGGACTTTCATTTAAGCTCAAATAAATAATCTTTAAAGGTAGATTTGGTTTGAGAAATATGAAAACAAAGAAAGGTTTGTTTAAGCTTTGAAAATTATATTATTTATTTAGTACCAAAATATAAAACTTAAGAACATGTACTAAATAAATCTTTTTCAATATCTTAATCAAGATTATTTAGCTTAATGTTTTGTCATTTCAAAATAAAGATCAATTCAAGGCTAACAAATTCCTTTTTCAAAACAATATTTTTTTTTCTAAAAATTCATTTATACTTTGAGAGGTTTCAAATCTATTTTTCATTTTTCATTTTCTTTTTCAAAAATATTTTTTGCATTCATCAAAAAATCATTTTCAACATTCAATTTTGAAATCATTTTCTTGTATTTCATTCTCATTGACTCAAATTCTATAACTAACTCATCAAAAGCATCTTGCAATTCATCAAAAGTATATGAATTTGAATCAATTAAGTTAGAAGTCACCTTAGGCTTTCCAAGAGCCATAAGACATGATACATTTTGATTGAAAATTTATCTTTCATATAGCTCATCCAACTTTCTCCATATCTCATTTGAAGTTGAGCATTTTGAGACCAAGTTGAAGTTTTGACATTTTGACATAGCTCATCCAACTCGGTATGTCAGAATCCGATCCATCATGGGATACCTCACCCAGATGAATCGACATATCAAGTCCCTAAGAGAGACTGCTGAACCCTATAATCCAACATTTTCATTCATTTTTAAAAGTTACATTTTATTATTTTCTATTCTTGATTTCATAAATTATTTTTTATTAAAATTTTCATTTAAAATTTTCACATACATGCTAGAAATAAATGCTAATATCATCCTAAGAACAGCAATGAAAATCATTACCTCTACTAGACATGCTTATCTACAGTGCATGCAGTTGCTGAATTTATAGCATGTTGGATTTACGAAATGGAATAGAGAGTAAATGAAATAGGTTTTATGTGAAAATAAAAAATAAGAGGAATAAAAGAATATATATATGTATATATTATGAATTTAATTCACCTGAATGGAATAGAGAAGGAATTAGTATTAATATGTTTCATTAATCCCATAATAAGACATCCCAATACCTTTCAGTCTGAAAAGTAGTATTCAAATAAGACAGCAACCCAGAAGCATAAAATCACAAATCTCATAACAATTATACAAAAACCCAAAAGCAATAGAGAGAAAAACAAGTAATTAATAAGACAACAACAAATACACTAAAAACATATTAAAAAATACAAAAAAAATTTTGAGTGATAAAGAAAGGTCAATGTGGCTCAAGGACTCACAATGGCTACATGTGTTGTTGATTTAGCCAAAGGAAGGTTTCATCATGACTCATGACTTGTTGATCTCTTTGATCTTGTGTCAGAGGCACAAATCTTGAGGGGATGACATGGTCTGAGAATGAGAGAGTTGTATCTATATTAGCCTCTACTTTAAGGTTAGAATAAGAAAAGAAAGGCAGATTGATAAAGTAGTGCTACGATTGGCATGGGTCTTTTATGGTTAGAGTTAGGAGTGAGTTAAGTTTACGGTTGTCTTTCTTGGGAATAGACATATTTACCTTTAATTGGGAAAGAATTGTAATAGTTGGTTAATTCAATAGGTTTAGTTATCAATTTTAATAACCAAAAATCAACTTACTCAACCAATTTAATTGTACAAAATAATCGAATAAAATTGAAACCAATTAGACCAACTGAATTCACCAAATTTAGTCGATTTCAATTAATTAAATTAGTTTGAACCAAATTTTGCCCACTTTTATTGTCAGGAACTATGAAGGCTACATGTGATAGTGACAATAAGCATTTCTATCAATAGATGGATTTCAAGTCTACTTCTCTTTTTTATTTCATCAGAAGCCTTATGTGTAGTGGTTGAGATATCCATTTCATCCTATTTTCCTTTGGCAAAAAAGGTGTTTGTGTCTTTCCTTATTTCTTCAATCATTTCTCTTCTTAGATTTGTGTTAACCCACTCTTGCAAGCCTATCATCAAAGAAAGAAATGTATCTATTTCAAATATAAAGAAATTAAGCAAACAAAATGAAAATGAATCACAAGCATGACACAAAATGAAGTAAGTACCCTATGATTTATAGGTTGGTTTTAGGTTGGGATGTAATTGAGTTTAACCGAGCTAGTACATTGGAATGCTAAAGCTTGAGCTCGATTCAAAAATCGAAACTCACAGTTTAACTCAAACTTGATTGAATTCTAATTTTTAAGCTCGATTTAAGGTAAAACTCGAGTCGAGCTCGAGCTCGTTCAGCTTGAATCATAATAGAAAATTTGTAATTTTATATTCATTCTTAATAAAGTAAGAAACGGAACAACAAAGCATGAAACAAAACTATTTACAAAATAGAAGAAACAAAATATTGTACATATAAGTTAAACCTGTTGAAGTTAAGTATACAGCCCAAGAAGATCATCCAAGGAGCTCATTCAAATTGCCATGCTTTGTATGAAAAAAAAAAAAAGTCAAGGCAATAAAAACAATTTAAAGAAAAATAACAAAATAAAAGAAGAAAAAAAACAAATCACATGACATCCTTTTTAAATAACTATCCAATCTCATGATGATATCAATAATTTAACAATCTTTTTTCGCACACTTTTGTCACAAAAAAGTGATCTTTAGATATAAAAATTAATTAGATTTAAAATAGAATCAACTACTACAAATACCTAGAAAATGTTTTTCAAAAAGCTAGGAAAAAAATATAACAAAGAATAGAGATATTGGAAAAGGTAGTTGTTTTTATCAATATGGGATTTGAACTTAGCACATGTGATTGATTTATGCCTTCGCTTCTTACAAGCTAATACTTTGATATTTTCTCTTTTCTTTTTGCTTATCTCTAACCTTTTGAGCATAATCTGTCATAGGGAGGGCCTTTCTAGAGTTGAGTAAGAACATGATAATGGAAAAGAAATGAAAAAGGAAACAACATTTTTAGGGAGAGTCATGAGATTGAAAGAGATTTTAGGGCTTTAGTTTTAAATATTTAGATTGAAAGAGATTTTAGGGCTTTAGTTTTAAGTATTTAGATTTTAAGGGTAAAATTGTAATTTATAATTAAAATAATAAAATATATATTAAAATAAAAAAAGCTTGAATAAGTACGTGAGCTACTCGAGTCAAGTACTAAAATGCTTAAACTCAATTCACTCGATAAATCAAGCTATTTGAATTCGAGTTCGACTTAATAATAATTAAACCTAATTCAAATTTTTTTCAAATCAAACTTGAATGATTTGTGAGCATAATTGTATTATTTACACCCTTAGTTGTAGGTTTATATAGAAAAAAAGTATAAATTATTGAAAAAAAAAAGAAAAAATTTAGAAAGAAGAAAAAAAATCACAATTTGAGTAAAGAAATAATAAAACAAATCAAATGATAATAAAATGTCAAATTTTGAATCTTAAAAGGCATTTTTAATCCGCCACATCACAAGATATTTTTTGTAATACCCAAAATAAAATTATCATCTCAACATCAAATGGATAACTCCAAGTGAAATTTTACGAAATAAACATCTATAAAATAACTAAAGTTGTTTGTAAAGGAAGACAACTTTTAATTGATAATTGGTACAAGTATCGTGCTTCATTGCCGGTTTAATTTTTATTATTTTTATTTGGATACAAATAAATATCAATTAGTTTAATTAATAATAAAATTAAAAAAATAATCAAAATCCTATATATAAAAGATGACAAAATGTTAGTTATAAAGATCTTAAATTAAAATTATTTTAATAGTAAATCAATATAAAAATTCAAACATAAGTATAAAAATAAATTAAACTAAACCATCAAATGAAAATATAATATATAATTAATAATAATAAGAAAAATAAATACGAGCCTAACCATAGAGGTTAATATGATGGTAGTCCAACAAATTTTAAAATAACCCAAATATCCAAGATCAATATCGTCAAAAATTGGTCAAATTTCATTATTGTCCAAAATACACGTGTTGTCACCAAATCTATTTGTAGCTAAGTTTCATTTAAAGATACACAAATAGATTGAAATCTTATAAATTGAAATGGTGAATTGGCTGCCGCACGGCATATTTTCTTGGGAGAGGAAAAAAAAAAATGCAAATAATGTTTTTATTAATTTTAGGTTTGCGTCATGTAGAGGTGTATGATACAATATATTTTTTATATGGGTTAAAGATTTTTAAGCCTAGTCTTATCACACCACTCCAATACGATACAATATATATTTTATTTTAAACTTCAATTCGTATATATATATATATATATATATATATATATATATATTATATGGCAAAAAGAAAAGAAAAAAAGTTATAGTAATTTTAACTCTTCAAAAAAAAAAAAAAAACAACAGAAGCCCAGGTGGTTGGTTATCGAATAATATTCCGGCGACATGAGAAATAAGGAATGCCGGCAACTTCCGGCGGAGAAGTCACGCGCCACCATTTAGCGTAGGAATGCTTACTTTAAACAATTTCACTATAACAAACAAACCAAGCGGCAAAAAGAATCTGAAACCAAAACGCTAACGCTAAAACCCGAATCGTTACGAATCCAGCCGATTTCGAATACTTTCCAAGCCATTCGTCCTTGCTCATCTTCGTCTTCGTCGTCTTCGATGCACAAAAACAGGCAAAAGAGAAGCAATTCCAGCGGCTCAGGAGCTTCTCGCATATGGGTCTTCTCTTCCCATGATTGTTCTAATTATAAAGGTATCAAAATTTCGATTATATATGTTATATATTATGAAAATTTTGATGATAACTGAATTTGGGTTAGTTAAAGAGTTTGATATTAGCCAAAAATCAATTTTTCTCCTTGGTGTTTGCAACTGAATTTCTGGTTGTCAATTTGTGTTAAAGATTATACTTTCTTGAATCACTTGAATGTAATATTTTGAACGAGAAGTTTGTATCTTGGTTCATATTGGTTTTGGTTCATATTTAGGCACTTTACTTAGTTTTTGCTTCCTTGTTATTACTCTAAAATAAAGGATTATTATCCCATTTAGAAAACAACCGGATTTAAATAATTGACATATGTTCATTCAAGTACTTATGTTTGTTATTTGAACTTGCTAACTCCACTGCAAGTGTATAAGATAAAGATAGTAATCCTATGAAAGGAAATTGTAACGGCAAAAAACCCTAATTGATTAAAAAATAACAAATGATTAACATGTAACACCAATAGTAACATGTTCACACTGTATGAAAGTAAAATCCTACATTTTTTCATCTAAACAATTACTTTTCATTTTTACTTTTTTAAAAATATTGTTTACTTTTGTATCCAAATGCATTTTTTTTTTTTTGTTTTGAGTAGTAAAAGCCACAATCAGATGCTACGTTAATATGGTAGCTGTTATAAGCATGGCTATTTTATTTTTATGTTCTGATTGAAAGCTGTGGAACACAGCCATCAATGATGATGTTGGGGATGACTATCAAAGATTATATGGTTTACTCTCTAGCTTTCTATACCTTTGATTACTGTTGCCTGCTCCTGGTGCTCCATTTACCCTTTGCTGGAAGTTAAGAATGTTTTTGAGCCTCAAATGTTGGAATGAGGGTAATTTTAGACACTGACTGGAAGATGAGGTTTTCGTTCTATTTTTTAATTTCCTTTAAAAGGATGTCTTTTCCTTTTGGTGATCGGAGGGAACATAAGATTGAAAGACTTGCTCTACAAATGGATATCTTGATGCCTTTAATATTTTAACCTTGTAACTTTTTGGTGATCCATCTAAAAGATAATTTTTTAAGTTGATTGTTGGATCATGGGAAATATAATTTTTCTTGTCTCTGCCTAAATCTTTTTGACTTTTGTTCTGCAGATAAAGTTGTCATTGTTTCATATAACATACTTGGAGTGGATAATGTGGCAAAGCATCCTGACTTGTATCTTCATGTCCCACAAAAGTTCTTGGAGTGGGATAGACGTAAAGATTTAATATGTGAGGAGGTCAATCGTTACAATGCAAACATCCTGTGTTTTCAGGTGAGTTTCTGAGTCTTTTAATATGAATCATATTTTGCAAGATGTATTACGCCAAAGAACTGGATTATACTATACATAGTAGAATTCTGCTTTGGTTATATAAGTTTCAAATCATATAAATCCACCGATCATTGAAATCAGTAAGGGGTGGCTAGTTATTTGCTAGTTAGTTACATTCTTAAATTCCACTCTTACTGTTGTAGGAGGTTGACCGCTTTAACGATTTAGATAATCTTCTTCAGAAAGATGGCTTTAAAGGTGCTTACAAGGTATACTAAATTGTTCTATGTACTTTCCCCCGGTCCAGCAACTATGCTATCAAATACTTTTTTTAACCCAGACTTGTAATTACAAATGATTCCAGGTTCGAACAGGTGATGCACGTGATGGTTGTGCTCTATTCTGGAAGGAGAAAATGTAAGCTTGTCCGGTTCCCTTGTTGATTTAAAAATTGCTTTATATTACTATAAATTTGATTAGGTATAATTGCTATTTTTTGTCATATGGAGCATTTATTTGCTATGATAGCAGACAACACTAGATGCTTCTTCTCTGTGCACATTGAAGAAAAATTTTAGCTATATTATTGTTATTATTTTATATGACATGATAATCTGCTTTCAACACAATTGCCTAATACAAATGTGAGAGATATAGCAATGGGTTAGCTATGCTTTTGGCCTTCATTTGTGACAGACTTGCCCCGTTCAAATTTGTTTCTCTACTTTTGAGCTCATTTTTTATTATTTGAATAATTTTTCCCTATTTTTATTTTTTATTTTTGCTATATCCAATTTTTAGAACATTACATTCTGACCACAGGTTTACAATTTTGCATGAAGAAAATATAGAGTTCCAGGATTTTGGCCTCCGTGATAATGTTGCTCAGCTTTGTGTTTTGAAGGTATGAAGGAGGTTAATTTATTGCTGTATAGCTCGTCTCTCAACCTCTTGTTATAGGATTTGGTACTGTGCAGTTTATCTAATTCGTTAAACCATACTTGGTTTAGTTCTATTTTTTGAACTGGTTGATTTTCTTGAGCTTTTATTAAATTATGTGTTTTTCTATTTGCCTAAAAGCATTCCTCATTTTGTTGATTTCAAAAGGATGATTGGGAAGTTTATCAATTGCAGTTAGTTGGTTTTCTGATTCTACTAACTGTTTTAATTATGTCTGACATCTATTACTGAATTGTTTTCCTACTAAGATATTAGGTCTTGTTCTAACTTATATCTTTATTATGTCTTTATATTTTCGCATAATGATAAGCGAAGCCCTCGAACTATGATAAAATCTCACTTAAGCTCCTACTCTTTTGTTTGTGTCAATCAAGCTCTCAATCTATTGTCTAGTGTCAAATAACCCAATCTGGAGGAGGAAAACCCTGATGTGGCTAACAGCATGACTTATTCCACCATATGTGAGTTAATTAGGCCATTAGTCACTTCAGTGTTTTCCATCCAATTTGGGTTTATTTCACACCAAATAATAAATTGATGGGTTGATTGACACAAATAAACAAGTAGAGGCTTAAGTTAGAGTTTCAACATAGTTTGAGGGCTTATTTTGTTATTATGCGTTTTTGCTTTTCAAGTAATTGAAACGCTGAAGAGGGAGGAAAGATGGTTCTATTGTTTTCTAGATAAAGTTTTCCTGTAAAGAAAATGTTTCGAGTACAGTGTTCTTGCAGCAGGATTAGTAACAGCAATCCTAACGAAACTATTTTCGTAGCAAATAGTATTATATCTTCTCTGTCATTATTTGGTTGCATTCTTTAGTTTTTAACCTTTGAAGGATTTCAGAGTCTCATTATATGAAAATAGATTTCTTGTCTGCTTAGTTATAATCTTCAAGAGTGGCATTGCTCTCTCTCTCTCCCCCCCTTCTAATTATTTACATATGCATTACTATTGCATATACATATTTTAGTAATGATAGGTTTCTCTGCACTCAGCCTCTGTTTAACTTCCTGTGGTTGATGTTTAATAATTTTCTCATACAGATGAATCAACATCAATCAGAGTCTGGTTCCCATGCAAAGCCATCAAAGTAAGTTTAGACTTTTTCTGACATTCCTCTTTGCATAGATTTCAGTAGAAATAACTTGTGTTTGGTAAGAAATAGGTGAGCTTTTGGATTTATATACCTGTAACTGTTTAAATGGATGAAGATTAGTTTCTAAGGTGGTTATCAAAATTATTTAAAAAAAAAGTTGTTATCACTATAATGTATTTAACAAAATACTAAAATGTATTTGGTTTAAATAAATTAAAAATGTATTTAAGTGGCAACTTTTGTTTTAAAGATTGTACTCCTAGAAACCTATGCCTGAAAGCTAAAAGCATTTACGTGACATGGATTCATGCGTTAAACCTTATGTCTCGAATATGCATCACCTACCAAATAGAACGAGGCTCCTTTTTATAAATATATATGTACTAAGTATAAGCATTTAACATAGAGAATTAATGTAGTTTTGCAGTCAGTATATGTAGAATAAAGTTATTTTTATAAATGATTATGCTGAGGTAGTTATTTACAAGTAAGAAGTTGGAGTCCTAGAGGAGAGGAGGAATGCACAATCCTAGTAAGCTAATTGTGGGGAGAATGTGGAAACTGAAATGATGTTGCGACAATAATTATGTTATCCTGGAGAGCACAAAATGATTTGTAGAAGAAATAAATTACTTTGGAACATGCAAGCATGAAATAGGGAAAGAATGTGTGAAATATTGAAGGAGATGAAGAGGGTTTCTAATTTCTGTAGAGAAACTACAGAGAAGTTTTAAGGCATATGGAGGGTAAAAGTAATCCTTAAATAATTAGTGTAAAGGGGCGTTTGTAGTCATAAAGGTGGGTTTCAATTGATAAGCTGCTTCCATTGTCTTAACCTTTCAAATAGAGCTTGTAGTTTGACCAAGTTATCATGAGCGTCCAGTTTGATTGTAAAGAAAGGTTTAATCAAAGGAGTCCTTATTATCATTTATGACTCGTAGTAAAATTTTGAGCATTCATAAGAAGATTTAAAGAATTCAAGCTGTTTTTGGCCAAGCATATGAAGTAAAAAATCTTCAAAATGATAATCTTATGACCTTGCTACAATTCAGGAATAATCAAGGTTCATAATCTTGTCCCGCCAATCCATGCTCCTTTAATGATGATTAATGGCATTTAGGTTGAATTTAAGACTAATATTTGGATTAAATAAGGTGTTACTAGGATTTTAGAAAACTTTTTAGAAAGTCACATGTATGTATTGTGGCTTAAAAGGAAAATTTTCATTGATAATTAGTTAAATTTGTTTCATTTTAAAAAACTTTTTCCTGTAAAACTGAATATATAGGATAACACCCATGCGGAGTCGAAGTTTATTGGTTGGAAATATACATGTGCTGTTCAACCCAAACCGTGGAGACATAAAGCTAGGCCAGGTACTGAGTGCTCAGCATGATGTTCACCATTTTGCTACATCATAAAATTAATGCCAAATCCTCTAAGTTAACCATTCTCTCTCTCTCTGTTATATATATATATTATGGAGGGTACGGGGATCTTTCTTGTCTAGGATCCCCTTGTCTTCTTTTATTGAAACTAATGATGCTTAGAAATATAACATGCAATGGTATAGGTCCGGCTGTTTCTTGAGAAGGCTTACAAGCTATCACAAGAATGGGGCAGCATCCCCGTTATACTGGCAGGAGATTTTAACAGCATTCCTCAGGTGGATTCATGCAACCTAAATACTACTTGAATATTTACAGATTCTGTATACAGTTTGCTATCTAGTTTCTACTGCCCCATTTGTATCTTGAGTTTGTTTTCATCTTGTCTCCAGAGTGCTATGTATCAATTTCTGGCATCATCTGAGGTGAGTTTTGGTTCTTGTAGAGTTTCAAGTCTATATCCTTTGATTATTCTCGTTTTTACTGAGTGATGTTTATTGATACACTGGCTGTATGCATCATTAATTGTAATCTGATAAATTTTACAGCTGAATATCCAACTCCATGATCGCCGGAGGATTTCTGGGCAGCTTGAATATCCATCAAAGGGCAGAGAAATCAGAGTTCAAAATAAGGCTATAGCCAGGTATTTAAAAAATTATTAGGAAATTTTCAAAATTTTAAAGCATTTTTGAAAGAAGACCGAGACTCAAATCTTGAATGACTTACTTTCCTTGCTCAAAGTTTTGAAACTATCAACTAAGTATGAATTAAGTTGGGTAGTCAATGATGTTTTTCTGTATGCATTGATATATATTGTTGAACCCGAGATTGTCTCCATTGAGTTGGTTGAGAGCTATTCAGCTTTGAATTGATTAGAAAGTTGAAAAAATGGTAACAAGACATAATCAAATAATGAGGAGCTTGGTTATTTAGATCAAATTCAAAATTTATCTTTATTAAAAACTCAATTTATCTATTTCTTTCCTATTCCTTTACATATGACAAACAAAATTGGTGGCAGTAAGTACTCTTGATTTTTCTCCCTTTTTGCTGCTTTGAACTCCTCATAACTACTTGTTATCGTACGCTCATGTGGGTGTGAGGAGGTTAATTTTGGAATGTACAATTTTTTTGATGCTACAAAATGACAGCTGTCATTTGTTTTATTTGCTTTAACTGGGTTTGGTATATCAGGTGCCCGGTTTGGATGCCTGTCTCCAAGCAGTTACTGCATACATGGAGTGATGAAGAATTAGTGCTTGCAACAGGAAATAAAGGTGTCACTCATCTGCAGCACAAATTGAACCTTTGCAGTGCTTATGTTGGGGTTCCTGTAAGTTTATTGAACCTTCTTGTGCTCTCTGGTATAATTTTGGGCATTGGTCATAAATGGCTGGACCTTGAAGAAAGCCATGATGGTCTTTTCTTTGGGCCCTTTTTGGGCCGGGTGTGAGGGGTGGAATGTTTTGTATGCTTCAGATGCAAGCTTCTAAGGGAGCATGTTTTATGATATAAATTTCCCTGCACTTGATGGAGGCAAAATACTGGTTCAAACAGATTGAGACATATCTGTTGATGCTTGTTTTTGGTGGTGTTTTCTTTTTTTTTTTTTTTAAATAAATTTGGATATATACATCAGTGTATAGAAATGTTTTATCTTTTATGATTCAAATTATTAATAAATTTGGATCCTAACTTTCTTCTTTGTTCTTTTGTCTGATAAATATTGCTTATCCTTTTGCTAGGGTACACGCAGGACAAGAGATAGTCAGGGAGAGCCCTTGGCAACATCTTACCACTCCAAGTTTATGGGCACTGTAGATTATATTTGGTAGATTGATTATATTGTAAAAATGTGTATTTATTTCAGGAACTTATAGTCACTGACTTCAGTGTTTCATACAGGCATACAGGGGAACTTGTTCCTGTGAGAGTTATTGAAACATTACCTATTGATGTATTGAGAAGAAACACAAGCCTTCCTAATGAGGTAACTTTGCTTAAATCTAGTGAGCTTGATTGAGCATATACTGTTTTATTAACATCCCATGTCGAGGATCTAAATTATTATGCAAGGATAATATCATAGCATTGAATATATATATATAATATATATATATATATATTTAAAGAAACAAAATAAGTAAATTGGCATCTCTTTGTCCCTAGAAATTATTCATTTTACGCTAGTCATGTTCCTTCGAATGAAGTAGCTACCTGTTTCTAGAAACTAAAAATTGATTGACTAAGTTTACTATGAGTTATTTTTCTCTATTTTCTATCAAATCTTGGTATATTAATCAAGAATTTTGACTATGCAGAGATGGGGTAGCGACCATCTTGCTCTTGTATGTGAACTGGCCTTTGCTGACAATCACAAGGGACTTCCATTTATATGTAAAAGAAGAATTCCCATTGAGTAATTTAGCTGAATGGCAGGCAGTTCAGCTTCACAGTTTTAGATGAAGCACCCTCAACCAAGAGAATAGTTTTTATTCGTATGTATACAATTTAGAATGATAACGATGATGGGAATTTTGGCTCTGTTTCCTGTTGAAGGAGCACAATTTCGTCTGGTTTATTGTTTAAAAAAGAAAACTTCAACTTTTAATCCCGATGTAGATCAACATTAGCTAATTATGACTTTAATCAAACATCACAAAAAAAATTCAAAATCCAATTTAGTGATTGTTTTCCTTACTCTTACTAGGGAATTGCTGAAACAATTGTTTTGATCTATGGATTTGACTTGCAGCTCAAGTCAGATTTCAACTGATTATGATTGATTAAGGGTTAATTTGGATTAATTGATTGCAATGAATGCACCTCCGGTGGAATCCTGACTTTTTTCGGGAGTCAACAACTATACTGTGGGATGCATTTGGGTGGTATCTTGCGAAGCGGTTGATTCTGTTCTTCTTCCAGTTGGAACTGGAGAGGGAAGGGTCGAAAGAATGGTTCATTGTACTACTGGAACCGGAGTCGGAAGAGTTCAATTCCAATGGTGCATTGGACTGTTGGATTTGGGGAGGGAAGGGTCCCACGGTTTATTCGGTTATGGGACAGTCAACTATTTCTGTATAGTGTAGTCCATTATTTTAGTATAAAAATAATTTTCAGTTATAACAACTGAACCTTTTGATGAAATATTTTATTGCCATATTTGATTTTATCATTATATATACATTTACATTAAAAATATGATTATTATTGGTTTTAATATCATATTACAATATCTAATTTGATCTAATTTTATCATTCATGTTATTTTTAATTTTACTGAAATGAATTTTATTACCCGTTCAAAATATCATACATCAACATATTTATGATTTGATTTAGGGCTTTGCCGGTTGATTGAGACATAGAAGTCTGACTCGTTAAAATGTTGAACTTAAACCCATGTTTGTTGATTGGAGTTACCGATAATTTTGCACCAACACCATCAATTAGTCAAATAGCTCCTGTTTATTCGTGTTTCATAAAATTGATAAGAAAGAAAAAAGGAAGAAACTAGGAAAGTTCTTGAAGATATTTAATACCTGAAAAATAGAAAGACATTTAAATGCTACTTGGTTGAAAAAATTCCGAAACAGAGTGAAGGCGGAAGGGTATCCAAAGTCAAATGGAGGCTGAAAGGCCTAGTAATTTAGATGACAAGCAATCTCTTCTGAGGGTCAAGCAACCTCTTCCGAGCGGCCTACAACTTAGCTCAAAGTTTTATATACATCATGTAAATATTGCATGCTCCATCTCCGTCCTTTAATAGTATCTTTCTTAATGATATGCAGCTGCTCCCTTTTTTTTTTTTTTTCGAAAGAGAACGAATTTGATAAAATATAAAGTTATAGAGATTAAATTTTAAATTTATTAACTATTAATTATTAAATTTTAAAAATAATTATATGAATCAATTTAACTAAATTTTAAATTTTATATATGCTAATTATATTCTAATTACATGTAAATACACAAAAACTAGTTAGTCTAGATTTTTGGAATATAATGTTAATAGAAAGTAACGATTATATTTCTCTTTTTTTTTAAGAGACACTTCGGCGATAGAAAGATTTTATAGAAGTAGATGGAGGGGGTAAAAAATGGCCACCCGTATTGGGAGAAAGGTGGGTAAGCATAAGGCTACAGACATGGATGAGGAAGTGGGTGGATGGGGCAGGTTCATCAGAATGAGGGTTGAGGTGGACATTACAAAGCCATTAAGAAGAGCGATCTTATTGCGCTGAACTTCAAATAACTCGAAAATATGGGGTTCTCTGAAATATGAAAGGCTGCCTAATTTCCGCTATGAGTGTGGCAAGCTAGGGCACACAGAGCTTGACTGTGAAAGGGATACTGGTTTGAACACAAAGGAAGGCAATTGAGCCAAGCAGTATGGAGACTGGCTCAAAGCCTCACCACTAAAAAAGAAGAGTACTAAGTTTGTAACTGATCGACAGAAAAAGCCAATAGTGGTCCCAAACAATGAAGTAGCCACGATAGAAAACATGACGGTCATGGGCGGAGGAAGCATGAGAGATGCAGGAAAGAGAAATAAGGAAACAGAGACAATTGTGGAAAGTCAGCATTTAGGAGTTGGATCACAGCCGGTTGATGAGCAATATGAGAATAATATAATGGAACATGCTGGGAATAGCAGTGGAAAGTCAATGGAGTCAAGGAGGGAGAATATCACGGGGATTATGGATATTGGGGCACAAGAAATGGAAGGAAATCGGCAGACTACAGAGAAGATTGATGTGCAGGTGATAGCAGCAATGAATGAAGATATGGGCGTGATAGGGACGAGAAAGGAAATCACAACTGAAAAGGGGACCCAAGATGGTCAACGCACCGAATATGACCACGTGCAGGTTTCAAAATCTGGAGGAATGCTATTATCACATGGAGCACATGAAATGGAAAAAAATCGCATGCCAGCACGGTGCGAAGGGTAATGCTATTGAAATACTCACGAACAAAGAAAGACATCAAGGGAGTGTGAACTGGTGGATTTTATGGAAGTAGATGGAGGGGAAAGGAAATTCAGAGACGATGGGACCATCATCAGGTCGGATAGAACATTGGCGAGGACTGGGATCCAGTCTCGCCAGTCGCAATGAAAACCTTAGCTTCGAACTACCACAGGCTTGGCAACCGACGTGCAGTGAGAGCTCTACGTGAGCTGGTCATAAAACAAGAGCCTGCTGCAGTTTTTCTTTGCGAGACGAAATTAACAACAGCTAAGAAGGATACAGTTCGTAGGAAATGCAGGTGGAAAATTGTTTCACTGTAGATAGTATTGGAAGAAATGGGGGTCTTGCAATGTTGTGGAGGGAAGACTTAGTGTTGTAGTTGAGATCTTTTTCAAGGTGTCATATAGACATGGAGGTCCAAGAACACGGTCAATTAAGTTGGAGAATAACTGGGTTTTATAGAGAGCCTGGAACTGGTAGAAGGAATATATCCTGGGCCTTACGAAGGGAATTGGCATCTCAGAGTCAATTACCATGGCTTTGTATGGGAGATTATAATGAAATTCTCAATGATAGTGAAAAAAGTAGGAAATGTTTGAGGCTGGAGAAACAAATGGATGCTTTTAGGGAAGCATTGGAGGATAGCAATACTTGGGTTTTAAGGAAGCATAGTTCACATGGGCAAAAGGATTGAGGAGTGAAGACGAGGTGAGGGAAAGATTGGATGGGCTCCTGGCAAACAAATAATGGTGCGATATATGGCCAAATTTCCTAGTTGAACATTTGACTAATTCTACTTCAGATCACTGCCCCATTTCCTTGAATACGATGTGTAGTAGCAGACAAATTAAGAGCAGGAGAAAGTCACGCAGGTTCCACTTTGAAGAGATGTGGACAAAAAACCAAGGATGAGAGGAGGTCATTTCGGCCACGTGGGCATCTACTGCTAATGAGTCAATAGCAAGGAAAATGCAAGAGGTGGGCCATAATTTGACAAGATGGCGTAACATGAATGGGGGCAACATCAGCCTGTTGATAAGGAATACAAATTGCAAGCTCAATTGGCTTAAAAGAGCAATCGGTGGATGATGGAATCCCTGAAGAGGAGTGTGCGGCAAAAAACACATTAAATCAGTTGCTGGGAAAAAGAAGAGCTTTTTTGGAAGCAAAGGGCAAAGGTTGATTGGCTGAAAAGGGGGACAAAATACGGCATTTTTCCACGCACATGTGAATAATCGCCGTGGAAGAAATAGAATTATTGGTCTGGAAAACAATACTGGAACTTGGTGTGAGGGGGAAGAAGACATGAATAATTTAGCAAAAAATTATTTTGAGGAGCTCTTCAAATCCCAAGGATCACATAACAAGGAATCTGTCATTGAGATGGTAGACCAACGAATTTCTGATAAGATGAATCAATTTCTGTTGGCGGACATCCATTCTGAAGAAATTTTCCATGCCCTCAAACAGATGCACCCTACTAAATCTCCAGGCCCCGATGGTATACCCGCTATCTTATTTCAAAAATACTGGCACATTATTGGTAAGGATGTTATTTATTTTTGTATGGATGCGTTGAATGGAAATTAGCCCTTGCATGATATAAACACCACCTACATTGTTCTGATTCTGAAGATTAAAAACGCTAGGATTATGACACATTTTAGACCAACTAGCCTTCGTAATGTTATTTACAAATTAGTGTAAGGCGTATGACCGGAAGGAATGGTTTTTTATTGAGGCTATTATGGCCAAGATGGGGTTTGCAAATAGATGGATATCGACCATTATGAGGTGTGTATGATCTTTGTCTTACTCTATTATTATTAATGGGAAAATGACTAATAGATTTGTACCAGGTAGAGGTCTCTGCAAGGAGATCCACCTTCACCGTATTTATTCTTATTTTGCACAGAGGGATTATCGGCCTTACTAGCAGAGGCTCAAAGAATGAATAAAATATGGGGGTTGAGGGCAAGTAGAACTGGACCCAAAGTTAATCATCTTTTTTTCGTCAATAACAACTTGATATTTGCCAAAGCAAGCAGAAGTGATGGCGAGAATGTGAGGCATGTGCTAAAGCTTTATGAGGACAGCTCAGGCCAGAAAATCAATTTAAAAAAATTTGCTCTTTTCTTTAGCCAGACCACCACAAGGAATCAGAGAGAAGATCTATAGCAACGGTTTGTGATCAATGCCACAAATAGTCCATAGCAATTACTGGGACTACTAACCATGGTGGGGAAAGGAAAACAAAAAGCTTTCCGAAAAATCAAGGAGAAGGTGCAAAACCGGATTCAACATTGGAGTGAAAAATTTTTATCAAAGGCAGGGAAAGAAGTTTTCATCAAAGCAGTGTTATTAGCGATTCCATCCTACACAATGAACTGTTTTATGTTGCCGAAGACATTGAAATAGGAACTAACTAGCATATTAAGTAATTTCCAGTGGAGGAATAAAGCTACTTATGCACTGGATCAATTGGAAAACACTCTGCCTGCCTAAAATAAAAGGGGGATTGGTTTTCGAGACCTGGGATTGTTTAATAAGGCTATGTTGGGGAAGCGAGGTTGGAGGCTAATTCACAATACTGAGTCATTATGTTATAAAGTTTTGATGGCCAAGTATTTTCCCCACA